TATATATATATATCTGTTTTCCAACGGATATTACCTGTATATCTTGTAATTTCTACATACGTTCAAATCGCTTTAAATTCTGCCAACGCGATCAAATCTCACAGTATTGATGAAATATTTTGAAAAGACACAATATACTCGTAAAATGTTTCTACAGGTGTCCGAAGATTTTTGTAAATCTATACTTCTATCTATATCTTATAAATATTATAAAGATTTTTGTAAATCTATATTTCTATCTACATCTTGTAAATATTACATATTCAAATTTGCATTAAATTTTGATCAGTCAAACCTCACAACACCGATGAAATTTCGCGATGTTTCCTACAACGCGGACAATGCATTGACAAAAACATTTTGCAAATGTTCGAGTATTTTCGTGACCCGTGTGTACATGTACCGCGTCTCTCAACGAATGTTATTCCCGAAGGATTTCCCCCGTAGAATCATAATGTAGAAAAATAGAGTCTACGAAATCCTGTTGATCCTTCATGCACGCGCGATTTTTCCATTGATTCTGTGCGCCAAGTCAGGCCAGAAACATACAGATTTCTATCAGAAACAGAACTCGTGCGTAAACATCATGTTTGTGTGTGTGTGTCTGTCGGATAGAGCTTATGCGCGAAAATACCATGGAGCACTGTACCGGCTGTAAATAAGTGCGCGCGCAGGGATGAATTTAAATCTGGCAAATTGAAATTCGCGGAGACGACGTGGCAATCGTCTGCAAGAGCGGAGAGATCAAAGTCTTGTTGCTGTTGAAGGATCGTTTTCAATTACTCTAGGCTATAATTACAAAAGGAAGTGTGTAATTACAGACACAGCACGAGGGAAGGGGCGAGGTGAGGAGGAATTTTGTTCGCGGCGAAAATCACGAAACATTGTTGCGACAGCAGGACAGCCACTTCCATGTGAAATATCGCCGTGAAAAATCGATCCTTAAACTGCGAACGCTCACGGTCGAGGGCCGTGTCTATGGTTACGTCGTGGATGACCGACCGGATCTTCGAAAAATATGTCGTCCGTCCGTCCTGTGAATATGTGTACCATTAGAAGAGGAAGTTGTCGTTCAACCCTGCTATTTGATGCTCAAATCTTTGCATTTCAATTTTACTCTCGTTTTAGCAAACAGGATGGATATTTAAAGAAAATATTTATACGTAGAATTTC